GACTTTGTCTTAAAATTAAATTAAAAGTAAAGTTTCTCCGCCAAAAAAATGCAATTCGGCAAGCGGGAAGAAGACGAAATTTTCAATGCACGGAACTAAATTTATTTTGACACGTTGTACCAAGTGACAGGAAAATAAATGAAAACAAATGCGTATAAAATACAATCAAATTTTTGCCATTAATTTACAGTAATATATTCGCAAAAATTTAATATATTTAAAGAACTGAAATTCTTTGTTTATCTGAAGAATAAATGGCCCACCAGCGGCCGAGCGGTAAAGTCGCTGAACACTGGTAGTTCGGTCCGAGGTTCGAATCCCGCGAACGGACTGGCTGCATGGGCGTACGTGGTTTTCCCCATGTGTAACGTGTATACGAGCCAGTTTCCCTTAGAAAGTCCTCCTCGAAGGCATCCCTCCTCTTAGGCAGATAGCCCCTCGAGGCTTTGCCATAATCACACACACACACACTTACACACACACTGAAGAATAATGAATAAGAATAATGCAGGGTGGTCAAAGAAACACTGCCCCGAAATATGAAATCCTAGCGGCCTATCTGCTCAACCAATCGAAATGAAATTTCATATAGTGTTATTTGAGGGTATGCACTCGAGATTGAGATGATTTGAAACAGCAGAGCTCTCGCGGTTTCGGTTACAGTGAAAATATTTCAAAATATTTTAATGGAAAAGCTCACTTTACTCCTGATGCACATTGAAAAATTATCACATTGAAAAACCATAAATGGCGTTGGAATGATACACATATGACGAACATTGTCAGCATAAACATTTTGTACAATGCTCAAAAGAAGGGGGGACAGTTCTATATCTCCCGCTCCAGAGCTTAAATTGGCCGGATCCCGGCTCCGGTATTTCTTAGTTTTGGGGATAAATCATAATTCCAGGCGGAGCTCACCGAAGGCTCCGGCGTTTACGTAGCGGATTTATTTATTTATAAAATTATTTAATTACGTTTATCTTTAATTATTTTACTAATAATAATTAATTGATTTTATTTAATTACTAATAATCATTAATTAAATAATAACTGACAAGTACTAAATAATAAAATTTATTAAATAATAATTACTTTCGTAATAATTAGCTATTTAATTTTTAAGTTATTAATGATTTCAATAGTCATTTTATTTATTTATTTACTTTTGTTCCTCTTTGCTGACGGTCTTCCATATGGCTCCAGCACTTCTAATTTTAGAAATTAAGCCCTGTCCCGCTCTACTAGGCCAATTGACGAAATTCAGATTGCATTTTCCATGTCTCGGAATATATTAGGATATATATTAGATTTATATATAAACTTGTTCTAATATAGGAATCTTGAGACAAAATCGGACTTTTTCTGAAATGTCATGCCAATTTTTTCCCATATTTCGATTCTACGACTCATTATGCGTAAATATTAAATTTTGTAAAATTTGGTGCGAAATCTTTGGAGAAATTATAATATTTATCTTACCGCATTTTTTTTTTTTTTTTTTTTTTCGTAGTGTACTTCTGTTTATAAAATATCCGTCCGCACTTCTTCGAAGAGGTGACTTCCACTAGTATGAAAATGTGTAATGCGTTATCGTCTGTGAAGATGGGCTCGTTGGAAACTGATAATTCAAATAGAATTTTTTTCTTTTCCCTCTCCTCTCATTTGTTGTCATTGGTCCTTTACAGTACTGTTCTTTGCAAATGTTTTACGACCGCAATTTTCGTCATATGCGTATCGTTTGAAAGCTGTTTATGGTTTTCCAATGCGCTGATCAATTTTGTGCAAGAAAAAAAATGAGTATTGTCTTAAATACTCATTTTTTTTCACTGTAACCGTAATTGTGAAAGCTCTATTGTTTATATCATCGCAATCTGGAGAGCGCATACCTTAAAATAACAATATCTGAAATTTCATTTCGATTGGTTAAGCGGATAGGCCGCTGGGGGTTCAAACATCGGAGGAAATCTTTTTATATAACCCCCCTGCAGTCTTGAGACATGAAACGGGAAGAGAAATTTAGAGGAACCGCAGTTTAATTTTCTCCTGCCCTTTTAGTTGGCATATTAATTTCTAATCATAAAGCTAAATAATCCTTCTGATAATGATTTCTGAACTCAGCCAAGCTCTTGAGTGTATTTTTCACTCATTATCTTCTATTAACAGATAATTAAACCACTTAATTACGACCTGTCAAATCAGTACCTTCCATTCCTCGCTCAGCAGCTCCACGGACGCGTTGTAGAAAGTTGGTGCAATGAAATGTCGCAGAGCGATGAAAAATATATGCATGCACTATTGTAAAAATAAAAATGCTGCAATTTTGTCTCATTTGTTTTTAAACGTGACCAAATAAAAGATTTATGCTGTTTAATATTCTCAATAAAATAATGTAAAAATCTGCTGCATCGGCTTGCTTTGGAACTGATTTCGTTTATTATTTATCTTTTACTATAATAAATGGATTCATTCTGCATTCTTTAGGGATTTGTTCATTTCGTTTCCAAAGAGAATTTTTTTGTAACTGTAAAGTACTTTTTTTCATTTGTTAAGAACATGCATTCTGATTCTACATTCTGAATGTAATTCTCAGAATGTATGTAAGAATATTTGTTAAGAATTTGTTAAGCAGAGGATGTTCGGACATTTTTTAGACATTTTCCCTTGTATTTACAGAGATATTTTGCCTAAAATGTTTGTGTTTTAAACGTTCTGCTTGATAATTTTTATTCTTCACTGTCTTTCTACAGCAGAATTTCTAAGACAATAAAGCCTTTTGTAGTATCGGAAGAGGTATTTTATCCCATTCCTCTTCAACAGCTTTCCAAGAAAGGTTGTAGATATATGTTTGGACAATTGTTTTTTTTTTTTTTTTTTTTTTTTTTTTTTTTTTTTTAAACACTAGATTTACCAGTTTGACTGGTCGTGCAATTTCAATTCAAAATTTCTACTACATATAACATTTGCTTTCCGAAATGATGTTATGACTTAAACATTTTAAAGGTTTACTTTATATATATATATATATTAGTAACAAATTTAGGGACAAGGGTAGACAAGGGTTTCTAAAATACATTGGTTTCTAGATTTTTATTATTTTATAAAAAATTATTTTTTTTTTTAAAAATTTAATTTTTTAAGAAAAAGTTTAATTCTTGCTTGTTTCTCAAAAGACTTCATTAGTATTTTCCTTTTTGAACTTTAATTCTTAAATGTTAATACTTAAATGTTAATTTCTAAGGGTACCACTTTATTGGAATTACTTTTGGTTTTGACTTTTACCCTTGCCTGCATGAATGACGAAATACGAATTGAATGATTGGAGAGTTAGGTTGGAAGGCAACTTACCTTTGATAAGTCTGTCTCTTGCCTACTCTACGATCATTAACATATGCATTTTATAAAAATTATTTAATTTAATTTTAATTTATTAAATTAGTAGATTTATTTTCATGGATAGATTTTGCACTTGATTTGCTTATGCTTCTGAATTTAAATGATATTGTAGATTAGTTCGAAAATTAAATCTTTTACATGTTTGCACATTTTTTTTTTTTTTTTAAAGAATTTAATTTGCTTTTTTACTTTTATGCGTATTTGTTAAGAATTTAAATTTGTTTAAATTTCAATTTCATTCCTTGCAGCAATGGCGCAAAGAATATTTAATTAAATATGTATTTAAATTTAATTTTTTAATTAAATTCAATTTATTCTTATTAGTAACAAATATATTTTTTGTTGGTGTATGTTTCTATGAAGATATATATGATTTCGGGAGAATCATGAGAGTGCAATACATATAGCGCCCATGCGTCTTTCGTTCGGCCCACTAGTGGCCGAGCGGTAAAGTCGCTGAACACTGGTAGTTCGGTCAGAGGTCCGAATCCCGCGAACGGACTGGCTGCATGGGCGTTTTCGTGGTTTTCCCCATGTGTAACGTGTATACGAGCCAGTTTTCCTTAGAAAATCCTCCACGAAGGCGTCTCTCCTCTTAGGCAGATAATCCTAGTGTGCTTTGCCATAATTAAATAAACCAAACGTTCTTTCACTCGTTCCGTTATCGACATTGAGCAGATTACGGCGATTACAGAATTTTTACGAGATGTTTACTTACTTCGTAAATGCGCGAGGCACGAACAGTCTTGTTTCGAGCTTCGTTTTCAACATAAAATCTTAGTCCAAGCGTGATCATTCATCTTTACCCGCACATTCATCATTCATCTTTACCCGCATCTTTTTTCTTACCTGTGTAACCAGGTAAGAAACATTTATGTTGATATGGAAAATACATGGTCTTGTTTCTTTGTACTTAGCCGAGACAATACCTTGTCTCTTGATATTCAAAAATATATTCTTCAGTAAGAAGCTTAAATACGGAGAAAGTGTCTTTTTTTTATATTTTTTGGGGAAAATTTATAAAAATTATTTAAAAATACAAATTTTAAAAATAAATCATAAAAAAATGTACGAATTATATTGGGATTAAGCCTAAATTTCGAATTCTGAAAGAAGGAATCAAATAAGTTTAATAAAAAAAAGAAGATAATAATAAATATATATTTAATTCAATTAACAACGAGGAGGTAAAATTTTGAGAGCTAATTTTTTAAAAACAACACGTGCGAGTTTTACAACACTTGGCAGTTTGGCATCATTTAAGTCGTAGAATCGAAATATGGAAATAATTTGGCATTTCATTTCAGAAAAAATCCAATTTTGTGTCAAAATACCCATGTTAGAATAATACTATATATAAATCTAATGCATATCCTAAGTCATGCTTTCGAGACGTGAAAAACGTAAGTTGAATTTCGTCAATCGCTTCAGTAGAACGGGAGATATAGAACTGTCTGTTTTTCTTTGTTTCTTCCCCAGTATACCTTTTTAAATCTAATAACAAATTTTATTTCCTCTGTTACATCTACAACATAGTTCAAATCGAGATTTTTAACTCTTAATGTCTGCCATTTTTAATCAGTTTGGCAATTCATCTATTACAGAGAAATGGAAGAAAGCTCCAGCGTAAATTTGTCATCTTTTCCATTTGAATTTCTTGAAGACGCTTGCTAAAGAGGTTTAAAGTATTAAAGGTAAATACTTCTATTCTTTATTTCCTTTAAGAACGCAAATTAAATTATGTTACTCTTTAATTGTTAAAGTTCTTAATATTTATCATTTTTTAGATATTCGTGTCCTAAATAATTGATAAATCGAAACGTTAAAATATCTTTCTCTTTTTCCATACGAATTTCAGGGAAATTATTAAATTGTTAATAACTATTACGCTATATTCTGCTCTTGTTTCTGCGCTTATTTCTGTAAGAATGATATTAATTATTTAATTCCTTTCTAATTAGTTGTGTTCAGTTTTCAAGCAATTATCTTTATTAATTTTTGTGTTACTAAAATGTACGCTCGTTAAATGAATCTCTTGTATTTAACTTGCAATTTAAGTTTTATTCTGACCAAGTAATTTAAAAACGAATAATGTTTTGTGCTGATGAATTCTTTATGAATATTTTTGTCAATCGAGGGAACTGCGATGACACTTTTCAGATTTTGCTTTTGAAGGTGGAAAACTGAATAATCTGGCTAATCTTTGGAATATGGTAACAGGTAGTTTGGCGACATTTTGGTAAGGCGATAAAGGTTACTAGCTAGGACTTTAGCAGTGTACATGGATAAAGTCAAGAGTGTGCGCAATGCCATTTTTGTGCAATTCTGAGATGTTTTTTTTTAAGTGAAAATAGGTCGACGTGCTTATTCACAAAGCCTACAGACCGTTTCTTCTGCTGTTTGCTCCGATTGGTTAGAAGAGGTAGGGTTACAGAATCTAGTGTTTGGCGACTTTTGGTTCATCGCCTTTACAATTTGTATCTGAGCGTCGTGTACCAAAAAGTGAGCATAACCCATCGGAGAAACCGCAGCCCAGTATTAACGAACGCGAGAATAATTATCAGACTTCTAGGTTGCCGGTTCTATCCCCGCTCGTAACTTTCATAAACTCTGCTTTTACGGATTTATTTTATTTTAACATTATTGAATGACTTTGTCATTATTTGTCTTTTCGCCTTCGGGTACGGTGTTAAAAATTAAACGCCTTTATTTTCTCTATTTTTGTTAATGTTAATTTTTTCTTATTTTTATTTACTGGTTTGTACTCTTTGTAGTAGGTACCAGTAAGCAAGATTACGATCCAAGATCCCGAAAAAGCGTTTCAATAGATATAGCGCATAATGGAATAAAATTATAATTTTAGATATACTTAGTCGTAAAAAAGAATAGGTATCCGACACCCTTAAATGTTTACTGAATGTTTTCATTAGGTTAATTTTTTAATATTCCTTTATTTGTATAAATTAATGCGCTATGAAAATTTACACAATAGACTCTTCCTAAGTGAAATAACGAAAAAGTGCATATGCTGTCTCGATATAAAACCTTTTCTTGTAAAACAATTACGTACTTTTAAAAGTTTAAATTCAAATACAAATAAGCTATTAATAAGATCAGTAGGTTATTTAAGATATATTCCACACAATTCCTCTAAGCTTTCATTCATAAATTAAAAACATATTGAATGAAATAAACGCTGTTTCCGTTTGTTTGCTGTTAGTTACCACTCCTACAGGGCGATAACTCACCATTCCAAATATGACCGCCAAGCAGATGTTTCCTCCAATGAGAGCAGCCCGTAGCGAAATTGTCTGTAGGCTTTGTGAATATGCGGTCGACGTGTACATGTATGATACCGTGTATGTGCAATTCTTAAAACGGCAAGCAGTGATTGACTTTCTCCCAATTCGCACCTAATCTCGTCATGATTAACATTTGTTCCATAAAAGTTCTAGTATAAGGTACGGCAGCAGATTGTGGAAAAAATTTGAGTAAAAAAAAAAAAAAAAAAAAAAAAAAAAAAAAAAAACAAAAAAAAAAAAAAAAAAAAAAAAAAAAAAAAAAAACAAAAAAAAAAAAAAAAAACAAAAAAAAAAAAAAAAAAATGCGTCCAAAACAAAACTAGAGGTTGCTGTAGCAGGTTGGCCCAAAATTTCGCCCAAAACCGCCAAGTTACAAATCAAAGATTAACCATATCTCAGATTTTTTTTTTTTTTTTTTTTTTTTTTGAGTGATGTCTGAAAGAAACAAAACTATCGAATCGTATTTAAAATTTGTAATTTTATATACATTTTTTTCCTTAACTGAAATTTAATTTTTCCAGTATTCAAAATTTGAAATGGAGATTATTACAGTAATTTTCTTGTAAAAAAGAGTTGTTTTACCAGGTCTCCGTCGAAAACATCGCCAAAACATCGTCGTATCAAACATCGCGGGAGAAACGAAAACAAGGAGAAAACATCACAGTTCTAGAACATCGTGGTATAAAACACCGTCATCGAAAATAAAAAGTGGTTTAAAATTACCGTAGCTTTCAAAACATCGTCGCAGAAAATATCGTGATAAGAAATAAAACACTCGCAAATCATCGTATAATGCATATCGGACGTATATTTTCAGATATCAAAAGTTTCAAATGTATCTGCTCATAATGATTGAGGAGCGTTAGAAGATATTGGGAATATTTTTCTCTCTATATTTTTTATATTTTTGAATTAACTAAAACATTTTATTAAAAAAATTAGAAACTTAAAATGCAACTTCAGCATTTAAAAACTTAAAATGAGTAGAATTTAACAGTAGAATAAAATTTTAAACTTAGCTTAATATTGAAGGTGAATGTTTAAATTCTTTTATAAGGTATTTCTCCCGCCTTTTCGGCATGCCTTCGTGGTATTCCAGAGGTCCGTGGTTCGATTCCCGGGAAAGGAGTTGCATATTTTTCATCTTGCCTGCTTCCGAAAAATACCTAATGTCAGGTTGTTTTCGTATATATTGCTATAAATTAATGGCAAAACTTTGATTGTATACTATGTGCATTTGTTTTGATTTATTTTCCTATTATTTGGTACACCTCATAAAATAGGCGGGGCTCATAAAAGCTACCTACTCGGTCTTTATTTTCGCCAACGATGCTCTTAGACTTATACTTCTACGTACATAAAGGTTTTGAACCACAAATATACGAGGTGTATTCGAAAACTAAGTACCGTTTTGGAAAAAAAAAAAAAAAAATAGTAAAACAATTTTTTCGAATCCAATTTTATTTTTACATGAAAATACATGTCTTAAACTATTTTTCAACATAGTTTCCGCCAATGATCAAACACTTGTCATAGCGGGTGACCAGTTTTTGTATACCATCGTCAAAGAAACTTCCCGCCAGTTTCGATAACCACGACTCGACAGCATTTTTCGTGTCATCGTCAGATCCAAAGCGCTTGCCACCAAGCTCGCGCTTCATGTGCAGGAACGAGTGATAGTCGGACGGCGCCATGTCCGGGCTGTACGGCGGGTGATCGAACTGCTCCCAATGAAACTGTCGAATTAACGATTGAGTGACACTAGGAATATGGGACCGAGTATTGTCATGGAGCAACACAATTCCTTTACTGAGCATCCTCTTCGTTTGTTTGAATGGCACGCCTTAGTTTGTTAAAGTCTCACAATATCGTGCCGCATTAATGGTTTTCACCTCTGGGAAGAAATTCAGTAAGCAAAACGCCTTTCCTATCCCAGAAGACGGTGCACGTGATTTTTTGTGATGAATTGTCACTTTGAACTTTTGTTTTTTCGGAGAATGAGTGTGTCTCCATCGATTGTTGTTTTCGATTCTGGTGTGAATGACACACCCAAGTTTCATCACCTGTCACAATTTGGTTTAAAACGTTTTCTCCCTCATCACTGTACCACGTGAGAAATGTCAGGGCACTACCAAGTCGCTTTGTTTTGTGAACATGAGTGAGCATTTTTGGAACCCATCGGGAACACGGTTTGCGATAATTCGAGCTTTCAGACACAATTTCGAACAAAACAGTACGTGAAATTTGTGGAAATGCCTCCGAAAGAGCTGTCATTGTGAAGCGTCTGTTCTCATCAACTTCCCTTACCAAATCATCGGTGACAACAGAAAGCAGACCACTCCGAGCCTCGGCGTGGACATTTGTTCGACCTGCATTAAACATTCTTACCCACTTTCTCACCCTTCCATCCTTATCGGTCTTCACCGTACCTTTCTGTCACTTGACGATAAATTTCGGCCGGTTTAAACATTCCTCGCGTTCAAAAATTTAATCCGGGCCGAATCTCACAGTCAGCGGGCGAATAATTGTCTTAAATTTTGAATGTGCACAGCAAATGAAACACAACATAGACCAACCAAAATGGCGAATTGAAAGTCAGTGCACAAGACTGGCCTGGCGGGACGCCTACCACAGCGCTGCGACGGCGCTAGATTGAAACGGTACTAATTTTCCGAATACGCTACGTACCATATTTTCCTACGTATAACGCGCAGCAGTGTATAACTCGCATCTATAAATTTCACGTTATATTTTTAATTTTAGGTATATTCGCCGCACAACGCGCACCCAGTTCTTCACAAAGAAACTTAAAAGATTCATGTGCAATGCTCTTATCGTTAGAGGTCACTTATTCGAAGATTTGTCTTAGCCTTTATAACAATGGTATACCGAACTGACAAGTGCTAAGGGGAACAATATGTGTGTGGGTTAAATGCCTGAGGGAGTAAAAATTCCTGCAAAGAGGGTGGAATGTATTCAATGCATACTTCCGAAATATGCTATTGTAGGGTTTCGAGAAAAGGGGCGTTAGAATCCACTTCCAACCTATGTGAAATCGTGAAATTAGGAGTTAGATGTTTTCTCTTTCTGTAGTCATTTGAAGCCGTGATTCTGATGTGAAAATCGAAGGCTTCTGTAAATCGCATTTGCTTCAATTTGAATACAGTTGATGTAGTGTTCATTTCCGTAGTAAATATGGCTTCCGCGAAAAGAAATAAAACACAGTGCTATTTTCAAATGCAAAGCCAATTCATTTTGCGAAAGAAAATGGAAATCGTGTTGCAGCAAGGGAATTTGGTGCTGGTGAAAGATGGAACGATGACGATTATTTATTTATGGACAGTAACAATGATGGTCAAGATGAAACAGAATTCGATGATGTGCCTGAAGAT